TTGTTTGTTTGTTTTTGTTGTTTTTTTTGTTGTTGTTCCCTAAGAAATCTAGGGCTATGCTTTCAAGAGAGGTCAACACCTATATTGAGGGCCTGTATTTTCTAACAGCTCTGTTCCTACTGAATTGCCTGAAAGGTGCACTCAGCACTAAGCGCTAAGCTTATTTAAAGTAGACAGTCATTAGCTCTTTCCAGGTGACTGTGAAGAGTGAAGGAAGCATGGTGATGTCTCAGAGGAACTGGAGGGAAGGTCTTTGCTAATGTCATGGTTTGAGCCCAGAGGGCAACTGAGCACCACGCAGCTGTTCACTCACCCCTTCCCCTCTCAGGAACGGGAAGGAGAAAATGAGGTAAAAGGCTCAGGAATCCGGATAAGGACAGGGAGGGGTGGCTCACCCATCACAGTCAGGGGCAAAAGACAGACTGGTTAGGGGAAGGAAAAAAAAAGAACATGACTTTAATTCAAACTGTAACAAAGACAACACTTAACAGACAAGGTGAGACAGTGAGAAGCGCCACCACATCCAAACACACCTCCCCCCACCCCTCCCTTCTCCCCAGGCTCAGCTCTGCTCCCCATCTCTCCCCCAGCAGCGCAGGGGCAGGGGATGGGGGTCACAGCCAGCTCGCCGCCCCTTCCTTCTGGGGAGCTGGGGGGAACGCCGCCCAGCCCTCCCCTGCTCCCCGGGGCTCCCCTCTCGCTGCAGACAGGCCTCCAGGAACCTTCTCCGCAGCGAGTCCTTGCCAGGTGTGTGTACATGAAGAAGAGATGTGGCCGTGGTTCTGGTTCCCTTGGGACTCTCAATTCAGCTGCCTAGATTTCAGAGTCAGCCCCATTTTGAAGCTGAGAGCGAAGACAGGGCCCTGATTTTCCTCGTGTGGACAAGTCATGGCATTGCCTCCGTTCCTCTCCTGAAAAACAATGCCTCTGCATGCCAGAGCAGGGAGAGGACAGAGGTGGCCATCAGTCCTGAAGGAAGGCAGAGGCTCCCTACTTCTCCCTCCATCGCTGAACGTAAGCTAGTATGGGAAGCAGAGGGCACTCCTGAACAGCAGCGAAACAGCTTTGCTTTTGGTATTGAATCACCTTCAGCCCCGTCTGGTAAACTGCTGACTATCTTGCTCAAGAGGCTTTCAGCTTTTGAAAGCGATCCTTTTGCGAAACACCTCCCTTCCATCACCTTGTGCTCGTTATGCAGCGCGGTGGGAGGAGAAGGGGGAGCCACGTCTGCACCCCTCCCTTGGCTGCTTGAGATCCACTTAGCAGGACGCAAAGCCCTGACCCCAGTGCAGATTTGGCCTGCTGTCCCTCGGTTAAGAGAAATTGAAACCACATGTTTAGTGTTCGATGATGCTTTTCCCATTATTCCCGTCTCTATCACAGTAATTATTCTCTCTTGAGGGTCATTCAGAGTTCAGCCATGTGGAGAAACTGTTGTTATTAATTAAAGGACTAGCTGCTTTTTTAAACATCCTTGTTTAATTGCCCTTAGAAAGACGTCACAGTATTCCAGAGCTTTTCAGTTAGCTACCGAGTAGAGATATCTATAATTGTTCCTTAGGATGTTAAAAGGGAGATGAGGGATGTCAACAGCAAGGGCAAGAAGTGTAGCAGTTATCTGCAGAATCGAGAATGCCTGGAAACATAAAAAGCTCACCAGTCCTGAGTGAAATTGAAACACGGAGAAAAAGGTAGATGAAAATATACTGGATATTGCACAAATGCAGTTGAACCAACCATGTAAGAGGACAATAAAACTTTTTTTCTGGTTGTACTGATTGCATACAGTATTATAAACTCCTGCAATGTTATTACGAGCCTCCGGCTGCTTGGTATATTTCTTAAATTACCAGCCCCTTTGGTCATCTGGTTAGCTGAAAATTTCCATTTTATTTGTGTTAAAAAAAAAGCACCTCTGATAAAGAAAAAAGGTTGTTCCCTTCAGAAACAAAACGACAAAATGCAGTTTTACTTCATGAATCAGGTCTCCTTTATTCATCAATTGTAGAGCATAGTTTTTTTGCCAAGTCTTTTTTTCTCAAAATTGCTTTCGTTCAAGTCCTGATTTTGTGATGTTTGAAGTGGCAATAGCCAACAAATGCAGTCAGCTTCTGTTTTCACTGTGGGTCTGCAGGGTCTGTCTGGCACTGCCCAAGCTGGAGAACCAGGAACTCCGAAGGACAAACTTAACTTTTTAGCCATTCTGCAGCGGAGCAAGGCATGAACTGTGTCAGAGGGATTCTGTCAGCCACCCTTTTCCAGAATAAATGTTGGTTCGCTTCCTAGGAAAAACAAAGGGGAATCTTGGCACCAAAGAAACTCCAGGGTCTGACACTGCTAAGCATAAGCCAGCTCTGCTTTCTGCAGTTATATGTGTTCAACTGAGAGAAGTGTTGCTGACCAAGGAAGAGGACAACATGACATTGATCAACGTGCAAGTCCTTTCAGAAATTTAAAAAAGCTGTCAGATATGCACCAGGCCTCCAGACAGGTCTGCTTTCTGTGGGAGGGAGCAGGAACGCAGAAGGACTGGGGAAGAGAACAGGGAATTTTGATATTGATGCTGGAGGACCACTGGTGCTCAGGATCTCTTGCACCAGGCCAAGTCACTTGGCAGAAAGGGGCCAAGCTGACTTCTGAGCTGCAAATCCAGCACACTCCTTTGCTCGGGCTGACTGGTGCCTGGGGAGGAAACTGTGGGGATCATCAGTGACCTGAAGTATCACAGGAATACTTAAGTGCCCAGTGCATTTTTTCTTTGGAAAAAGCAGAGTGGCAGACTGGGCACTGCCACTGCTACTGGCAATGGGATTGCCCTCCCCTGCCCTGCAGTCTCCAAGACCTCTTCCGCTCTCAGTGAATGGACTTTGCCTCTAGGTTCAAAAGCTGGTGGTGTGAGCAAGAGGGCAGAGAGCACGTCTGGAAAGGCTGTCTGCAACATGCGGGAAGGCGTTGGGAATTATTCTTTGGAGAACATTCCTTTGCCTCAGCTGCAGCTTGGGGAAGCTGTGGGCAGAGGTTTGATGAGGAGGAAACTTCTGGTTGTAATTCCACAGAGACTATTCCTCACCTCTGAGGAGCCAGTACGTAAGAGCACTTCCCAGAGAGAGGAGAAACCCAGGCTGAAGGCTCTGCTTCATAAAACTCAAGACAGAAACTTTTTCACATCTGTGCCCAGGCTGTCGCCTCTCTGGGGGCAAGACAGTCCCTGTCCGCAGGGATGGTCCCTCTCTGCGGAGCCTCTTCCATACTGTGTGAATGATTATCTGCCTAAGGAGGGGGATGAACCTTTTCCTCCCAAAAGGTGTCACCACCCCTCACAATACCGAAGCAAGTCTCCTCTGCTTCCTCAGCCTTTTCTGCTGGAGTGGCTTTGCAGCGTTCACTGGGACAGTGACAGACTGGCACGTGAGAAGAAACCGAAACCTTGGGCTTGTGAGGCAGGGCAGGGCCAGCTAAGTGGGCATGCTGTGGCAATATCTGCTTGCAGAAATAACCATAAGGTCATCAGGATGGTACCGAGAACTGACTTGCTGCCTGCTGGTGTGAGTTTAAGCCACGCTGGATACCTTAACTCCAATGAGGTGACCCAAGCAGAGCTAAAACTTTGCTTGCTTGTTTGCCTGCAAGGTCAAAACTCCCCGAACCCCCAAGGCACTGGTTTTCCCTCTCACGGTGCTTCCCTTGTGCAGCAGTGTGAGGCACAGATCCCCACGTGTGCTACAAGGGGCTGGTGAGCACCTCCAGCAGCTGGGAGCCGAGGATGGAGACCTGAGCTGGCAGGATCAGCACAGCGCAGTGGGAAGAGACCTGGCAGGTACGACGGAGGTGCGGGGACTGATTTAGCTGTTCTCGTTGGCAGCAGTCACTGACAGTGCAAAAGAGAGCCTTTGCCTTGAAAGGCAATAGACAAGTTCTATCCTTGAGTTTTAAACTGATCCAGTCTGGATCCAAGGCCAATTACGGAAAACTGAAATGGAGGCAGACTCTGCAGCCACTAGCAGCTCTGGCTCATGTCCCCAGACTCACATCCCCGTCCCTGCTCCCAGTGGTGCTCATGCCTTTGTCTGGCTGCACAAGCTACCCCAGCACCTTGTCACTGTTGAATTACTTGCTCAGCTCGTTGCCAGCCGCGGGGATTTCTCCAGCGACGGCTCTCACGGTGGAGATTGCTAACGTGCGGGCAGCCTTTCCAGCCCGCACACCACCCTTCTCCTTTTCGTTGTAAGCCGTGCTGCCGCTATTCGGGCGCAAAATGCCGCCCTCTCTGAGCCTCACAACTCCATGAGGCCTTAAATCTCGCTGGAGCTGGCTCCCTCGTGCCATATTAAGTCCCATCTTTCCAAATTTAGGATTCCTGGCAGGACGGGGGAGATAGGCTTGCGGTTGTGAGAGGAGACTGGAAGCCGAGCGATGCGTCCGGGAAGCCACCCCCGCCGCCCTTCAGCGGAGCCATTAGTGTAGACGAGGCAACACCAATGCTGTGGGGGCCGATCTCGGAAACGACACACGGCGTTCGGCGCCAGGAGCCACAAAATGCCCTGCGGCTTTTATTTTTCCCTCTGCAGCAGAGGGGAAACGAGCGCTGGAATAACCCACGAAAACATCCTCCTCCACCCCTGCCCCCGCCAAGGACGGCGGGCAGTCCTGCACCCTCAGCCCCCCTCCCCGAGGGACAGGGGGACACGGGTGTGTTTCCGCGAGCAAGGTGGCTTGAGGGCACGGGCCTCTCCCCAGCGCGGAGGCATTTCAGGCGTGACCGACACCGTCCTCCCCCGCTCTGAAGGGAGAGGGGAGCAGCGCCATTTTGGCTCGCCCTTCCGCCGTTCGGGACTTGGGCGGGGAGCCGCCCGCCCGGCCCCCGGGCGCCCCGCTCCCCTCAGAGAAGGGCCGGCGCCGCCCGCCCCTCCACCCCGCGAGGGGCCGGGGCCGGGGCCGGGGGCGGGCCGGGGCGGTGTGGTGTGTGGCCGCGGGCCCGCCCCGCCGCGCTTAAAATGGCGGCGGGTGGCGCGGGGCGGGCAGGCGCGGCGGGGCGGGCAGGCATGGCGGCGGGCAGCGTCTGGGCCGTGCTGCTGGCCGCGGCACTGGTGCTCCCCGGCGCCGTGCGGGGCGGGCAGGGCCGGCCGCGGCTCCTGGGGGCCCCGGTGGAGATCGAGAACGCCGGCAACGACGAGGGCCTGCAGCGGGCCCTGCACTTCGCCATGGCCGAGTACAACAAGGCCAGCAACGACATGTACTCCAGCCGGGTGGTGCGGGTCGTCAGCGCCCAGAGGCAGGTGGGTGCCTGGGCGGGCTTGCGAGAGGGGCGGCGGTCAGCCCTGGGGTGCGTTAGGGTCGGCTCTGGCACCCTCCGGGGAGCAGCCAAAAATGGGGGGGGTGTGTGTGTGGGGGGAAGATCAGCCCTTGATCTCTGGGGGCTGTTTCAGCTTCCCCCACCCCCCCCCCCCCCCCCCGAAATAACGAATAAAAACCTTTTTTTTTATACCTTGGGACTTGGCGATCTGAACGCCTTTGAGTGTTGTCTGCTACTGAAGAAGCTAGTAAGTTCCTTATGCTGCTGCCGAGTTGACACACGACTCTGTTTACTAAGGAAGCTGCGCCTGCAGACTTGTTTACTTGGATTTTGTTTCTTTTGAAAGTGTCAAGTGTCTTCTGTGGAGGTTGCCGCGCGTGGTCTCCTCTCTACTTCTGGAGTCTGGTTTCCATCGTGTAAACAGAAAACTGTCTGCTAGGCTTCTCTTGTCAGAGAGCCCTTCTGTGCTGCAAATAAAGCTGCTTCTGCCCACTTGTCTTGTTGCAGATTGTGTCGGGAATCAAGTATATAATGGAAGTCGAGATTGGACGGACAACTTGTGCAAAGCCAGCAGCAGATCTCCAGAGCTGTGCTTTCCACGACACACCGCAGCTGGCTAAGGTAGGCTCCAGTTTCCAGCCCCTTTCCTCTGGCTGGCTTAGTACAGAGAGGTGTGAGCAGTGTCCCCTGTCTGTCCCCGATCAGAGGCTTCATGCCTTTGCACTTAATAAGGTACTGCCCTTGCAGAACTTGTCTCGCCAGGTGATGGAGAGGGCAGAGGGCCCTTTAGCCTGTTTTGTAAGTGGTGATCTGAGGCTGTAGTGCGTGGAAGGCTGTGTGCACCTCAAGCCTCTTAAAGTGCTCGTGGCCTGGCTCACAAGGACATGTGGAGGAAACTCCGCCAAGCCTACAGGTCTCCTGGCTCTCAGTCCGGTGTCCTGAGCTCCCACACCATTTTTGGTGCCTCTTGTCACAGGGTGATGTAAACAGCTTAACTCGACAGGCTTTCCTGGGGAACTTACGTTACTGTGAATAGTGCTTTGGGCTGAGCATGGATCACAAGAGTCAGGTTACCTCTGTTCTTTGTGCCCATCAAGCTGTTCCGTGGGAGGTTTGTACAAGAGCAATGCTCTTTAAGGAGTACTTCAGCTTTTCAGATGACAGCACCGAATATTTTTGCCTTGATCTGACCTGAGTTTTTCTTCAGTAGTACTTCATTATTTTTGTTGATCATAGTGAAAGGCTTAGCTTCTCTGTGTATGTGCCCTTTTGTGCCTGCATGTATGAGAAGTGTAACTGCCCACAAGTGATGTGTTAAGCACTTAGCTAGAAGTGTGTGTGTACCATTATGATAGCTGGAGTGATTTGACTTGTGCGTGTATAGATTAGCTGTGCAGGAGCACTTACCTGTGCCTGAGAGCTTATGTTGGAGTCTTGCCCATGCTGAAAGTTTTCCTGTGTGTGAATGTGTAGAGGAGCTGACCTGACCTTCGGAAGTCCTGACTGCTCAGCTTCTCTGTTAGTGTTTGAGAGGTGATTGATCCCGAGCAGTTACTAACAAGAGTGGTGTTCCAGAATACTTGTCAGAGCAAATCCAGAAAGCCACAGAAGTGGCATACATTCTGGATCATGTGGGGTAGTAAAACAGTATAGAACAATGGTCAATGACACTTTTATGTTCTTAATCTGATAACGGCTTTTTTCTTTCTCTCCTTAGCACACCATTTGCAACTTCGTAGTGTACGTTGTTCCTTGGCTAAACCAAATTAAACTACTGGACAGTAGCTGCCAGTAAGCCTGCCTTGGTTCCAGCAGAGACCAGCAACCAGTTGCTCAGACTAAAAAAAAAAAAAAGGCAATAACACAAATTGAGATGGGCTTTATCAATGCCTGTTAACTACTTATGTATGCTTGTGCTATGCAAGTTAAACTATGTAACTTTCCTTTAAAGCACAGTATGATCTCAACTTTGTTTTAATTTGTAATTACTTTTTAGAGCAGCTGTTTTGGTCTTCCCACAGCTTTCCCAATAAAAACAACCCACCTTGGTAATCCATGTTATGACTGCTATAAACATAAACTGATTAATAGTTGCTGTGATGTGTGATTTTTTTTTTTTTTTTTTTTTTTTTTTTTTTTTTTTTTTTTCCTTCTTTGAGCATCTGCTGTCTTGGAGGGAGGGTTTGCTTTTGTTTGTGACCTAGTGTGTCATGCCTAGCATGGGGTAAGAAGGGTGGGGCCCTGCTCACATGGGGTATAAACCATGCCTCCTCGTTTTGTGTAAGCCAAGGAAGTCCTGAAGAAACACTGGTTTTGAAAACACTGTGGTGTGCAACACTTGGGCTGGTGAAGATTAGCCAAAGCTGGTACTAAGGCTGTGATTGTTTTGTGTCCTGTCTGCTCTACAGTTCTGTTGTAAGGCTGGGCATACGCAGCTATGCTGTGTAAGAATTAATCACTCCAGTGCCTTCCTGCACTGCCTTCGAGCTGTTTTATGAACCTTGCTTCCTGTGGCACCTGGTCTTTGCAGGCTGTAGACCTAGATTTTTTTTTTGTGAGCAGAAGGCCTCAGGGCTTTATTTCCAGTCCAAGCAGTACCATGTCTCACTTTGTTTATAACCTAAAATATGACTGGTGGAGCTGGAGGTTCTTTGGCATGCGTGCCTGACCTGTGACAGCTTCTGTTTGCAAGCAGAGATGGGTGTGGAGAGAATTGGTGACAAGCCTGGCTCGGGGGAGATGGAACTGTGCTCTGGCTGTGACTTAACGGGGAGGAATCTGAATAATGTCTGATCTGGGCAAAGACCTTTAAATCATCAGGTGGAGAGGATTAGCACCCAAGAACTCTTAAGACACCTGGCTGAGGTATTTCCCATTAAACTGTGATGGATTAGTATTGAAGGGAGATTGGGGATACTGTGCCTGCTGGGGAAAGGACACATGACCCTGATGCCCATAACCTGAGGACAGCCTTGTACATAAGCAAGGGGAAAGTTAGTAATCAGTGTTAAGTGAGTAACTGATAAGAAACTTTGCTATCAGCTGGTGTAGTTTTATAGTGGCTGTGTGTGGTTCCCCCAAAACAGGCTTTGTTCTCTGAGTGTGAATGACCCCCAGAAGCAACCCCCTAAATCCAACTGCGCGTACAAACCTGGTGGGGTCTGTCACTTGGTCAAGTGCACTGCTGCTGGTTTCAGTAAGCATGACACCGTGTTTGGGGTTGGTGTGAGCATCGCAGGGAAAGACAGCTCCAGAGCTGGGGAAAAAAAATGTGGCTTTACACTGCCTCGTGATGTGATGTCCCAGAACCCAAGCAAAAGTGACAAGGAAGCTTCCCAGAGCAGGAGGCAAATGAGGCTGGAGCTTGAGATTGCACAGAGGAGGGGCCTTTGTTCTTTACTCCCGGGGGAGGACTGGAAGGAAGGAGCAGGATCCCCTTTAATCTTCAGGTAATAGGGGAACGTGCCAGGTCCAGAGGAGTGGTCTGGGGAGGGGGTGAAAGTGCTGAGGTGAACAATGGGGATGCTCCTTGTTTTGCATAGTCCTAGCAGTGCCTTTCTTACTTTATCGTCTGTCTTTGCTCTTCTGTGTTTTGAAGTAAACCTACTCCTTTTGGTGTAAATCTCGCCCAGGGATAAAGTGAGTCCAGTGTTCTGTCATGCCCTCCGTTAATCCTTGAGCCCAGGGATCCTGTGTCCGTGCCTGGTGGCCCCGTTTTGAAAGGAAGGTGGGAGGGGTGCAGAAAAGAGCTGCGGAACCGATCTGATGACTGCAGAAAGCAACGTGAGGTGAGAAGTGTAAGGGTGCTGTTACTCGCCTAAAAAACGGTATCGACAAGAGCTAACACAACCGCATCTCTGGGCGTGGGGGGGGGGGGTTCGGATCTAACAAGGGAGAGCAAAACAAGAGAGTAACCAGAAACCAGGCTTCTAGCGGAAAATACAGCTTCCTGGGAGCGCCTCTTCGGTGGGTTGCTCTGTTTCCCGAGGGGGGTGCCGTTTCCCATCGTTGCTGGGGTTTGACGAGCTTGTGGTGAGCACCAGGCCAGATCTAGACCCGCGTTGTCCGGGGGGTGAGCTGGCTGCCTGACACCAAGGGTCTCCACGCAGATCCGACAGGAATTATTCCCTCTGCTTCCCCGTCCTCGGTGCCCCGTTCCGTCGGGCCGCGCACCGGCACAGCCCATTTCTCTTGCCAGGGGTCAGGGAGCGTGCGGGTGTCTCTGCCGCGGCGCTGGGTCACTAACCCTGCTGACTGAGGAAATCCTGGTGCCGAGCCACTCAGCTGCCCTTGCTCGACATTTTTCTAATGACTCCATTTGTACATGCTTGTTCCCTGTTTTCCAGTTTATCCATACAAGCCCTAGGCAGTGGTGAAGGGGCTCCATCGTACTTGTGGTGGGTTTGCCTTTGTTTCCTTTTTATCGTCTTGGCTCGAGGCCTGCATAGGTAGTTTCGCTGGTCTCCTTAGTAAGGAGACTGGGCAAGAAATGAGGATGCAGATGGATGTAACCAGAAATTTCCACCACTTTAGCTGTATTTATTAGCCAGCAACTCTGAACAACGTGAGGGGGAAGAGAGTGGCCGTGCCAGAGAAAATGGGAATTTGAGTGTTGTGAGCTCCTGAATTCAAAGGTATTGCATTTTCATGTTGAAATGGCAATGACTAAGGGTGCGAATGGATGGCACAGATTGCCCCATCCTCACAAGCTGCTGAGTGTCAGCCTTGGTGATCGTCCCTACGTGCTCTCCTCTCGGAGCAAACGCCAAAAAAAAGCCTGACTTAATTTGAGCATCTTCCACCCTGGACTCTTACTTTGCATTTGCAACAGGCTGAGAACATTAGTGGAAGTTCCCCTGCCAAGAGCTTTTTGCTTGGCAGGTCTTTCTGCTTGGCTGGCGGGCGGTGGCTAGGTCAGCTGAACACAGAGCCCTCATTTTTAGCTGCATTCACTGCCTGACTTTTTCAAAGGTCGGTGACAGACATCAGTGAGTGACTGGGAAAGTGCTTATTTCGTGTTGTCTCTTGTTATGCTTTGCTTGCATCTGACATCAATTCTGGGTCGTGCTTCCTTAAACTTAAGGGGGTCAGAGCTTTGCTGTTGCTACAGCTTATGAGCCCAAAGCTTTTTTCTGACTCTGGGAGAGATTTAGGGCCAACTGGCAGAGGAGTGTATCTCTCCTTAGCAGTGCCTGCACCTGTAAACCTGTACTCACGTGGACTTGTAGCTCCCAGCTCTGCAAAGCACAGCTGAGACAGAGCTGTGAAAGTCGTAATGTTTATGGAGCCTGTGGGCATTGCCACTGTGCCAGGACGGGGGCATGCTCAGAGGAAGGCAGCGGGGCTGTATCCTCATTAGCATGAACACACAGAAGTACTGATCCCACCTGACCAGGCTGGCAGCATTTGACCTATCTGGCTTCTTTGAAGGCCATCTTATATGTGTGAGAGTCTGCGATAAAAGGCAGCTTTACCATGAGGACTGAAGAGCCCAGACAGTGTTAAGAGACGTGGTACAGGTTGCCTTTGTCTTTTTTAGCTTGTCTGGGACCCTCGCAGCTCCTCTGCCCATGGCCCAAGGCCTCATTTAAGCTTAACCCTGGGTCCCCTGTCCCTCTCTGAGCTGCGTTAGATGTGTCCTTGTCTCCAGCTCCGGCTGCCGCATGGGCCTTGGACCTGCCTTGCAGCTTGGTCTCCCAGCCCCTTCCCCTGCTCCAGGTTGGGCTCCCTGGAGGGACCCTGGTCCTGGTTCATCCCCTCGCTGTGTCTGGGGCTGTTGGTGGACCCTGTCCCACCCCTGGCTCGACTGGCCATGCTGAGACCCCCGTGGGACTGTGCTGTGTTGGGGAGGGCATGGCCAGTGCTGGGGCCCCCTCAGCTCCTGGCTCATCCCCTCCTCGTGCTGCTCCCTGGGATGTGGCCCTGCAGGGTCTTTCTGAGATCCTCGAAGCTGTAACAACACTCCTGCCAGGTACGGAGGGACACTTCCCTCCGTATGCAGCCTGAATTGCAATTTCCTGCGATTCTGAAAGCAAATGGCCCTGTGAGGGGCCAGGTCACCCCGCGGCCTGAGGGCTGCTTAGTGCTGTTGCCAATCTGCATGTGCTCAGGATGCACGATACTGCTTAGCCTAAGGCATGGAGACCTCTTAGTGAGTGTCTGAAGATGCAAGGTTGTTTGCATTCATCATTGCCGTGCAATACCTTAGAATCAGTAGAGTGTTGTTCCTTCAGGGGATCAAATTTACTGATCAAACCCACATCCCAGTTTGAACCTTGGTGCTTTATTTCTTGATGATGACAGCGGGGAGGTAAGACTTCAGATCCCCTTCCTCACGGGACGCGACAGTGGCCTGGAGATCATTTCTGCAGGGTTGCGAGTCCTGAGTTAGGTCAGTGCTGGCTATGCTGGGCCCCTCCGTGGCTCTTGTTGCCCAGCTTTGGCAGTGGCACGCTGGTGGGGGGGGGCAGGGCAGGTGCCTGGTTGTCCTCTCCAGGCAGCATGGTCCCAGGCTTGTCAAGGAGGGGTGAGAAGGACTCTGGGTGCCCACCTGGCTTGAGGGAGAAGAGCAGCCAACCTGCTGGCTCCACGATGCAAATCCCTCATGAGCATCTCCCTGCTGTCCCCCTCTGACTCGGGGCATGGCTCAGTGGGGTGGTGGACCCTGGGGCAGGATCCGAGGCTGGAGGTGACGCTTGCTAAAGCCTCTCTTCTGTGTCATCACTCATGGGGCATGGCATTGCTCAACCTCTCTGAGCTGGTAGGCTCCTCCTGTAGGGTTTTGCAACGGGGAAGAAAAGGAGAAGCTCAGCCACTCATCTCCATGATAAGCCAGTGCATGAGTGTTGAGGTGAGTGCTGGGTGCTATTTCTGACCTTGCCAGGGGTGGGTGTGGGTATGTGTGTGCATGAGACTGACAATGGGGAAACCTTTCTTTGCTTCCAGTTGGAGAAAAACCATCAGTGACTCACAGTGCCCTCGTACCATGTCTGGCTGGAAGGCACTGGCCCCTCTCCCACCAGCTGAGAAACATCATCCCTTGTGTCATGCCATCTCCACCCCTTTCAAGCACCCTGAGGTGACCTGGCTG